CTTTACCCATAGCAACCGATCAGCAGATTTTCTGTCTTATTTTGCAGCCTGTGCCACAAACAGGAAATGCCGAATTTCCCACCAACAGGAAGTCCCCACGTTGTGTGCTCAGGATGACACTCATAGGGCAGAACCTTCTCTTCCCAGCGCACAACTTCTTCTAATAGCAGGACCATTAATAGCCCACCTACCCTGGACCCTCCTGCCACTTCCTCTGCCTCCTCCTCCTGCCACTTCCTCTGCCCAGCCTTGCACCCTCCTCCTGCCACTTCCTCTGCCCAGCCTTGCACCCTCCTCCTGCCACTTCCTCTGCCCAGCCTTGCACCCTCCTCCTGCCACTTCCTCTGCCCAGCCTTGCACCCTCCTCCTGCCACTTCCTCTGCCCAGCCTTGCACCCTCCTCCTGCCACTTCCTCTGCCCAGCCTTGCACCCTCCTCCTGCCACTTCCTCTGCCCAGCCTTGCACCCTCCTCCTGCCACTTCCTCTGCCCAGCCTTGCACCCTCCTCCTGCCACTTCCTCTGCCCAGCCTTGCACCCTCCTCCTGCCACTTCCTCTGCCCAGCCTTGCACCCTCCTCCTGCCACTTCCTCTGCCCAGCCTTGCACCCTGCTGCCACTTCCTCTGCCTAGCCTTGCACCCTGCTGCCACTTCCTCTGCCCAGCCTTGCACCCTCCTCCTGCCACTTCCTCTGCCCAGCCTTGCACCCTCCTCCTGCAACTTCCTCTGTCCAGCCTTGCACCCTCCTCCTGCAACTTCCTCTGCCCGGACTTGCACCCTCCTCCTGCCACTTCCTCTGCCCGGACTTGCACCCTCCTGCCACTTCCTCTGCCCGGACTTGCACCCTCCTGCCACTTCCTCTGCCCGGACTTGCACCCTCCTCCTGGACTAAACCAAGTCTTCTTCTGATTCTGCACAGGGCAGCTAATCGTCTACCAGGTCGGCATTCTGCCCAGTCAGTTCTATGGGATTCTATCTGATCGGGACCTGGCCGGCTTCAGGAAGTTGGCAGCCCTGGCCGCAGCTCTGATCATCGTCATTTCCATGGTGAGTTCTCTCTTCCTCTGACCTCATCTGACCAATCAAACTACTGGAGGAAATCTCACCATTGTGGGAGGGGCAG